TAGCGAGTATTGCATCACGATAATGTCTAAGTGTATATGTTCGAACCGGCGTGCTATCGATTTGAACGTTCCACCTGGTGAGGATACTTGCCTGGTGACTTTATTGCGCGAAGGCAATGTGTACCATACATGAACGCACAGGACAGATACAGCAATGTTCTTAGACACATGGTATTCAAGTTTCCACTTGTAAGCATTCTACCCGGACAGTACAATCGCGAATGAGCACGAATTCATGAGATATATGTCGGGTTGACGTTGAGGAAGGGTTGTTGGTCGACGAGTTTGACGAGTCTTCATTGAAAGTAGCCATCGTTGCGGTGTAAGAAAGGGAAGATTTATTGACACAAGTATGGGCAACACGGATTGGACTATCTACCACGGCGGTTGGGCGCTCGCGACACTAGTGACAATGGTCTCTGATTCGAAAACGAATCCGCGGCCAACGGGATGATAGATGCACGTTCTCGGAGAATCTAAGTCTGACTCTTTGTTCGTAAAACGTGAAAATAATTTCTGTGTGTAAAGACGTTACTCTTTAGTCGATGGGATCGCGAGAGAGAATGAATCTCCCGTCCCGATGATGCCACAGAGGAAAACTATAATGGGGTGTGTCTATGGACACGAGATCATCTGTTTCGTCGAGAAAAGCTTTCGTTTAGAAAGTAAGGGAAATTGGCGTTGCTGCTAATTGGTCAATCTCCATATCGGTGGTTAGAAAAAGATGCGAGCCGCCCTAGAGGGAAGGCTGCTAGTGGGAGACGGCGCTCGTTGATAATAGATCTCCCCTGTTTTCCCGTAGTTGGGACAAAGACTGTTTGTTTATTTGAAGGACATTAGCTAGCTGCATCTTAAGATTTATAACGGGCCCCCGGGCTAGCTGAACATGTACTGCGGAGACGCATCGACATCTGGCAATCATATTACTCGAAGAATAGGGTCTGCGTGTGGCTTGTTGGAATGTTTACTGTCGGGTGTTACAACTCTTTCCTTTTCAAGGAGAGCTATAGAACTAGTCCATGCCTTTGTTGGACAAAGCTTTCATCCCTTGACCGCGGCTGCGTTGGGCGACAGACTGTCGCCTCGAGCCAAAGCTCACTATCACTACTCTCGAACAATTACAATTGGGTTGAATAACTGCAATTGTTTAGTTACGGCTATAATAGACTTTAGATTACAATTTCGCGGGGCTATCCAAAGGTTTCTGTGTTCTTTCATCTCCGACAGATATATATTATTCATTATTCCCCCTCCTCCGCCCCCTACCCCTCATCCCACACCTCCCCAATGTTACACAGCACCCAAAAGGCAGACTACCGAACCGTCCTGTTTTGCGACCAAGTTTTCAGGACAGAAAAAAATTAAAAAAATTCATAAAAAAGCTTCGCTCCCCAGCGGCCTAAACTCAAAAATTGTATTATACACGAAAAATGTGAGGTGGAATGGTGTAATAGGTACTGAAATGCACTCGGTTATGTTTAACCAATAACGTTTATTAAACTTGATAACAACGAATAACAATTAACAGTTATCAACAGTTGATACTTAACGACGATCAACAATAGCGACGTTCTGTCGATTCCTCGATAATAGCGGACTCGTTTTCTTTCGTCTTTTGCGTTTCGCGCCTCGTGGTCGAATGTCCTTATTTTTTCGATCGAACTGATTCTTCCCTTCGTTCGCCATCGATATCCCCACTAGAGTGCGTTCATTAGAAGTGCCGCCGCGGCTGGCGAGTGTATGCTCTTCCGAGAAATTCGGCGGAAGGAGCGTGGAGATATCGATGACGGATTGAGTGCGTCGTGCTGCGCTTTTGCGGCGTAGCGCTTTGTATCACGGAGCCGTTGGAAAGTTGGCGAACACTTGTCGAAGTTCTGCTTGAACGCATAAATTAGAGGTTTGTGATCTGTATAGATCGCGAACTCCCTACCTTCGACGGCATGTCGGAAGCGTTTAACCGTGTAGTACATCACCAGCAATTCCCAATCATACGCGCTGTATTTTCGTTGCGCGGGGGATAGCATTTTTGTCATAAAGCCTAGTGGTTGCCGCGAATCGTTGACGCGTTGCTGAAGTACCGCACCAATTGCGTAATCGGATGCGTCGACCGCGAGGCTTGTCGTCCGTAAGGTCCATGTCCTCGAATTGCATTTCCAGAAGCGTAAACCACGCCGTGACCTCCGAGGGCTGCAGCGGGGGCAAGTTGATTATTTGGTGAGCTCGTTGTGCGCCATTCGCGATCCCGTCGGTATTTGCCATCGTACAACAGTTTTAACTCGCGGCGTTTAGAGTCAGAGTATCACTATCACAGTCACCTCTTTAACTTTCACTCACGTCAAGGTCACCAATTTGAGACGTAAACCTGGAATCTGTATCTGGACTACTACACTAAGGCAATGTCAGTACGGATATTCACAACCTTATTCTTCTTCACAACCATTTTGATGACAGGTGACCTTCGTTTCGTTGTTCGGGGTTAGTATCAATGTTGCTGTGTTACAAGTATTACGAATATGAGGAGGAAGAATTTTTTTCCTTTTTTGTTTTTTTTTGTTTTTTCTATGTTGTATTCATAGGTAGGCTTTGTTTTATTTTTCACATCTTTTCTATGTTGTTTTCATAGGTAGGCCTTTTTTTTACCCTTTTTTAATTTTTTCCTTATTTTATTTTTATTTTTATATTTCACATCTCGGGATGTAATTTCGTAGAGAGACCTAAGGCGTAGCAGCTACGTCGCCCAAGTACGGATTCTCATACACATCATATTTCACTTCAGATCCCGAACACACTTATGCCAAAATCTCGGAGGGAATGGATTCCAACCACCAACCTATGTGCTTGCAGTCAGCTACAGTAACCACATAGCTACCGTCGTCCTGTACAAACTGCAGTTCCATAATTCTTATTTGGGATTAAACATTCTGACCTCGCACTATTAGATACATGTTATTCATTACTCCCCGCCCTCCCCTCCTATCATCCCACCACTCCCCAAAGTTACACAGCATCCAATAAGCAGACTACCGAAGAGTCTTGTTTTGCCACCAAGTTTTCAGGTCAGAAAAAAAATAAAAAGAAATTCATGAAAAAGTTCCGCTCCCCAGCGGGTGAAACGCAAAAATTGTACTATACACGAAAAATGTTAAGCGCCGACAGATAACACAGCATGGCTACGTCGTACCGCCGCGTATCGGTACCTTTGCCTGACATATCATTACAAAAATTCGCCGTTTATTGTGAATATGTATCTAAAACTGTATCTTGTGCTAAATAAACAAATAAAGAAAAATATATTATTCATTAGAAAATAAATATGAAACTTTACTTCCTTTGTTTTATAGTAAAAAACGTGTGTATAATATTTTATAATAAAATAAATAATTCTTGTAGTTTACAATGGCAACCAACGCGGGCATAATGACCTTAGGTCGTATTTAGGTAACTCGTGTTTTGTTTTTAAAGCCGAATCGTTTGCGATGAGGAAAAAGTCCGATCCTGGAACGTTTGAGTCGCTTACGAGCTTTGTGAATGATTCGTCGCAGTTGCGAGTAAATTTTTTTTTATATTTTACGTGAACGAAATCCGCACCGACGCCAGGCCGCTTCTGGGAAAAGCGGCGTGGTATTGTCGGACTCCAACCGACTGAAACCTCCACGATAACCGTCCCGACTGCGATGGAGAGAAGCCCGGGAACCGCTGTGAGCGTCACAACGGGGCCTTCTCCGCGCGCCTGATACCACCCCTGATGGAGCGGTTTGTAACCATTGTCACACCGCCTCGTCGCCGGAGCCGCCGTGCCAGGCAGACCTATTCCCCTACCGGACAGCTTGG